TCTTTTCTCTCTCTCTTGGCTTTCACCATATATATAATTAATCCTTGTCCACTTGAATCGATCATCTACTTCCCATGGATTATATTATTGAGTAATAAATTCAGTTTTTAATTTTTCTTTTTTCATTACGGTTCTAATGTCTATTGTTTTTGAAAACTGATAAATATTATTAATTGAGAATGGGAATGAAACTAAAATACTAGAATAAGTGCGGAAGTTATACGTGAAGAATAGTGGAGGAATTCTCCTTGTCATTTTATCATTTAATCGAGATTTTTAGTATTAATTAGTCCTAACAGCTTGTATACCAAACCGAACTAAATCAAACAGTCAGCTTTTTACCAAATAGCTACCACCTTTTCTTTTTAAGATCTTTTCAGTCACTAAATGCTAACAGTTACTACCTCTGTCCCGTTGGAAGGTTCTCATAGAAAAACGGCACGAATATTTAGGCAATAATTAAATAAAGTACTTCGAGTATATTTTGAGAAATGATTTTAATAGGTATATATTATAACGTAGTTAGTATTCATAACTGTGATGTTATAAATGTATTATTTTTAATATTTAATGATTAATTTATCACTTAAGGTTGTTAATTGTTTCCTAAAATGAAAATGAGAACCTTCTACCAGGACGTCCAAAAAAAGAAAGTGGGAACCTTCTAACGGGATGGAGGGAGTATTAAAAAGTTCAGAAAAGTATCTTTTCAGCTAGTTGGGCCAAACATACTCTTAGTACTCCCTCCCTCCGTCCCACTATTATATTCCTGTTGTGGTTTAGGATGGTTAATTGAAGATAAAGAAAACGGATCGCTATATTCAGAAATTACATTAAAATCTTTACAAAGTCGCAAAAATCAGAATCAAATTTGATAAAAAATTGATATATAAGATAAAAAATTAAAAGTGATTTTTGTTGATCAAATGTATAGAATCTAGAACAATAATAGGGGAACGAAGGTAATATTAACTAATGAGCATGTATGCTTAGAGGGAGGCTAATGTCTGTAATTGTATGTACTCCCTTTGTCCAAATTTGTTTTGCAAAGTCAACATTTTTTGACAATCAATAATAAAATTCAATGCTCCATTCCTCCTTATGGATAATTAACTCAATTTTTAATAATTAAAATTTACATATTCATAAACTACATTAAAATCTCTTCAAAGTTGTAAACTCCAATTAGATTATAATTACAAAATGACATCCTAATTAAGTGAACAAAATGTAACTATTTAACTAAGAAAAGTCAAATTTGCAAATCAATTTGAGACACAAGTAGTTTTATTTTTGCAATTTAGAATATGAAACTAATTAACAAAATTAGAGGGAGTATTTATTATCTGTTTTTCAACAAAATTATCAACCCGGCCAAAAGGTGGACATCAAATGATGTAGGACAATCAAAATTGAAACATTCATTTCATTTCATCAAAGTAAGTGGAAGAACCAATTACAGGTCATATAATTTCAAATTAGATAGGTCACAAGGAGTAACAAAATGTCACACTATGAATGGGGGGAGGATCAGATCAAGAGTGAAATTAATCCTCAGAAACAAAAAATTAATTCCATTGAAACCGATTCATGAATCAACGAATACATGAGCGGTTCATCAAGTTACACTTCCTCTGGACATTGAGTGCCTGGCCAAGGCAGCTGCCATACCTCAGCGCATTGCAAGCCGGGACGGTCTGCAGGCCTCTGTACACAATCCTCTCAAAATGGATGCTTGTTGTATTAAAACCATTCGACGGTGGCGATGGTGATGGCGATGGAAATGGTGACTGTGAAGGCGATGGAGAAGGTAGCGGTGATGACGAAGGCGGTAATGACGATGGCGGTGGGGATGGCAATGGTGGTGACGATGAGTTGGAAATGGTTGCAGGATGGATGTGCCGCCTTATCCTTCTGTGGAAGCGGCGGAACTCTTCTGCACCATCGCTGTTACTACTACTGCTACTACTATTACCGTAATAATAATGGAGTTTGTTCTCATTAGCTGCCATATCTGCTGTGGTGATCATGAAAAGGTAAGTAGTGAGGAAGAAGAGAATGGCAATGTTATGTGCCATAATCAGTTTTGGTTTGGAGGGTTTGTTTCCCTTCAATATAGGAGGCTGTTGTATGGATATATATGCAATAATGGGTGCAAAGCTAGGTAGGAAAATGCACCCACCTATGTGACTGATATATACCTGTTTCTTTTAATTACCCTTTAATTTGGCCTTAAATAATGGGTCAGTGACAGCCCCAACTTCATTCTTCTGTCATCATAAATTCCCAACTGCCTTTTGGCCATACCTTAGGCTCTGTGTGGATGATAAGATCCATAATCAATGGAAGAAGAATAGTTCATTAATCATTTTTGGGAGGGTACGTTCTAGGAAGAGGGTGTGACCGTGTGAACTCCTGTAAAAGAAGTAAATGAGAAAGTATTGTACGATTGGTCAACAAAGTATATGTGTATTCTTTTTTTGAGAATGTGTATTTCTATTCTTAATTATGAAATATACTTTCCTAAAATATATACAGCACTAATTGAAAGTAACGGATGTACAAATATTGTAACTAGGGGTGGGTGTGGTTCGATCAGTCCGGGTAATTGAAAAAAATTCAAGAAACTGGGCCTTACCCATAATATAGTAAACTGAGCCTGAGAAAGGCTAGTGAAATTTCTAATAAGTTATAAAATTCTCAAACTAATTAAGTATTAATGTAACCATAATATAGTAAAAAATCCAAATGAAAATATAAAACAACACTTTAAATTAGTTAACAAAGTATCTAATAACAAATCTATTAATTGAACATCACACAACCACCTAAGTTAAAATTTTAATCATTATTCATAAAGTAAAAAGATAGCACTATAAAGCCACAAGAAATTAAGCTAGTTACTATATTTGTCTATGAAAACAATTTAATCATATTAAATATTAAAGTATAAGTAAACGCAAGATAATCATTAAGTGAGAGTATTTGTTGACAATAAAATATTACAAAAAGTTTGATGCATTTGGAATAGAGAATTGAGGACAAGAATACAAAAAGTTTATTAGATGGACTTAAAAACTCTTTTTAACAGATTGGCCGGTTTCTTTAATTGAAAGTCTATGTCTACACTCTAGACACAAGAATATGAAAATCTTCCATGCATTGTTAATATATTATACGGAGTATTAAATATAATAGAATTTATTAAAATAATATTTTAAAGAGGTTCGGTCCGGGTATCCGTTATTTCAAATTTTAAGACCCGTTTGGTCCTAAATTTTTAAGGACCTGCCCCGTCCCGAAATGTTTGGGTTTTCTAAAATTTGGACCCGACCCTAATCCGTCTCGAACCTATATTACCCGGCCCGACCCGCGGTTCCTGTACCCGTTCACCCACCCCTAATTGTAACCCGCTAAGACCATTTGAAGTGGTGTGAGAGTCTAAATGTCAAAAAAGGACTACATCTATATGAAAACAGTGTTTTGACTCCTACTTCTCTGCATTCCAGCAGCGTCAATAAAGTACACTCTGCACATTTTTTACATATCAATTTAGTATAACATTAATTAAATTATTATAAGTAATGTTTTCCCTTTAATTTTTTTCTCTGATTAATTATAAAATACAAAAGACATATTTCGATATAAAAATAAATAAATTACATTAATTTTTTTTTTTTACGTTTTTTGGTTAACAAAAAATGAACTTATTTCATGTAAAGTTAAATTATGAAATATTCACTTATTTGTGAAGGCTGCATGAATTAAAAATATGTGTTATATGTTTTTTAGGCTCAAGAAAACTTCAACAGTTAAAATTTCCAAAAAAAAAACATTTTATATGTTACATATTGGTATCATATGAAAGATCATAAAAATTCATGAATTTTGATATATTTTTTGAAAAATTTGAAGAACAAATAAAAAAGTTACAAAAGATTAAAATATTTTGTGATTACAATGACATCGGTATGACATCAGCGTGACATCAACGGATTGCATAACATACGCGCATGCCTACTTTTTCTTTTTCTTTTCTTTTTTCCTTTTCTTTTCCCCTCTCAACCCTCCCTCTATTTTTACACCCCTCCATGGCTCCATCCCCTTACCCACTTTTACTACCCTCTATAACACACCACTAAATGAAATTAGGAGTCCAAAATTTCCATCTTTAACATTTTGGACTCCTAAATCCTAATACCTCACCACTCCAAGTGGTCTAATGGCAGTTCTAGATAGTTCTAACATCGGCCCCCAAGATTTTTTTTAATGTATATACATACGTATAAATATTTATAAGCAGTAAAAATATGGTGAAATTTTAAGTTTTGAAGTATAAATTCTCGCTCTATCACTGTGCAACCCATTTCACTTCTTTCAATTGAACTTGTTTTGCTTACACCTTAAATTAGGATACATTGTTAACTACTCAGACTTTGATATGTTCCCAAATAAACTTTTATTTGCCTATTTGATACGGAGTATGTCCTGATTATATCAAGACTAAGATATAATTTTGAAGCTATGGGTTTTATAGAAATGGTAGAGACCATGGATAACGAATGAATACCGAAATACGTGATGGTATAAGTATAAGATTTCTAATCATGTGAAAATGGGTAGGAGTACGGATAGCTCCCAAGTTTGGTGGTCAAAATTGCAATTATGGCGGTGATCCCTAAATTTTACAATCAACTTAATTACATGTGGTCATTAATTCTCCCTTTACTCTTTACAAATCCGATTGATCTAGCTGCGATGCTTCACTGGGCATCCCACATGGGATGTGTCAATTGTCAAATGTATATTAACTCTTTTTTTTTTCTTTCTTTAATGATAATATATAAAGGGTAGTTCTAATTGATGCCTAACTTTTACCAAACACGTTAAAAGAAGAAATCGGATTTTGCCGACACCTTTTCATGTCTCAACTTTAACACAAATGGAAAGATAAATGATATTAGACCCAGTATTTTCTTCCTCAATTTCAAGGCATATGATCTGAGTTCCTTTTTAACTTCTTGAAAAGTAAGCCTAAATGAGAATAGGACAGAAAAAAAGAACAGAACTCCTAACAAATGGGGCGTAATTTGGTGCCATGGAGAAGCTGCTACGCGCTTCTAAACATTGGCGGCATGACTAATATCGTAAGCAAGGGCGGTGGAGCGGTGGAGCCGCCACCCAATGAAGCCAGCGAAAGAGTGGGCTACTTGAGAGTTTGCTTAGATGCTCGTACACAAGAGAAAGGTGCATTGGGGGTATTGACATACATCTACTCCTCAAATTTTATTAAAGACTGTAAAGTGTAAATACTAAATAGTCTCCAATTATAATTATCCTAACATAAAAGGTCATCTCACTTGTTTAATTACCTTTTTTTATAGGGATAAGGCTCAAATTGGACACTATGGTTTCATCAGAATCTCATATTGGACACTAAGGTTTCAAATAGACCAAATTAGACACTATGGTTTCATATGTATCTCATATTGGACACTAAAGTTTCATAATTCAATATAAGTGAGTGTCCAATTTGATCTTTATCCAATATAAGTGAGTGTCCAAAAACTATGAATTATGAAACTTTAGTGTCCAATATGAGATATATATGAAACTATAGTGTCTAATTTGGTCCATTTGAAACCTTAGTGTCTAATATGATATTTTGATGAAACCATAGTGTCTAATTTGAGCCTTATCCCTTTTTTGCACAAAAACTAAATCAAGCCCATCAACACCAAACTTGATTATAGTGAGGATTCTGAAATGATTTGGATCACTAAACTTAATATTGCACTTGAATAAAGTCATACTACGGGGTACTACGTATTACAATAAAGAACACAACTCTTCGATTCAATCCTCAAACTCTTGCAATAAAACTAAATGTATTACAATAAACTCTCAAAGAACAATAAACTCTTGCAATAAAACTAAATGTATTACAATAAACTCTCAAAGAACAATAAACTCTTACAAGAGTTATGTTCTTTCTTGCAAGAGTTATGTTCTTTCTTGCAAGAGTTATGTTCTTTTTATTGCAATACACTAGAGTTATGTTCTTTATTGTTGCAACCACTGGAGAAGATGGAACCGGTAGCTGACCAGATCTCGACATCATCCAACACAAACCTCCCTCGGAACCATTGATGGCCCCCCATCTCCGACGGCTGTGAAGGGCGAACCGAACCCCTCCACTCTGGCACCAACGATGCAAGTCTTCTTTGATCTCCGGTAGCAACGATGCAATTGATTCTGGAGCTGGTTGGAAAGTAAAGTAGCCATAGAAGAAAGGGTAACCGGATCCTGCGAGGAAGAAGATGAAGGTGGGGCCAAAAATAAAGAAAAAGGGGGAGGTGGGCCGAGAAAAATGGGAAAGCGAAGGGAAAAAAATGAAATAAAGAAAAATGTCAAAAATAACATCTGGAATGACACATCAACACAGTTACCAGATAACCGAGGAGTAACCTGCTAGATTACAAATTTGATCATTTTTGTGTACTTCAAAGACTTAATTGGGTGTTCTTATTTACTTTGAGGGTTTCAATTGACTTTTTTGGTATACTTCAGGGGCTAAAATGCTAAAGGCTAAAGGGTCAAATAGGTACATGAACTAACTTAAAGTGTTCAATTAGCCCCTTATATAGGAGGTTCTGTTCGGCCGTCGCCAATTGGGGCGGTTCCCGGTGGAATTTTTTGATGAAATTTTTTGAGCATCTTCTTCATTAAGTCTAGTTTACCCATACCAAATTTCAGCTAACAATTCAACCGGGAAGGCAGTTAAATGATTTTTTGAAGATAACTGCGCAGTTAAACAACGCAGTACATTTCGGAAAATCATTTGACTGCCTTCCCGATTTAATTTTTAGCTGAAATTTGATATGGGTAAACTAGACTTAATGAAGAAGATGCTCAAAAAATTTCATCAAAAAATTCCACCGGGAAACGCCCCAATTGGCGACGGCCGGGCAGAATCTCCTATATAAAAGGCTAATTGAACACTTTAAGTTAGTTCATGTACAAATTAGCCAATGCTAAATTAAAAATGCCCCAATTTAGCCAATGCTAAATTAAAAATGGCATTTATATATTGATCATTTATGTTTTTTTACTCTGAGGGTTCAATTGACCAGCAAGTTCGTTAATAAAGAGCAGCAGAATAATTGTACAAATCACTCACCACGGTGCACCAGATCAGACTCCAGACCAACTAGTTCCAGTTCCTATTAAGGTAAGAATCGAAACCCAAACAAGTTATGCCAGTCTGGTTCCAAATCGGAACATTTTGACTCCCAATCTGGTTAAGATCCTACCCAGGTTTTAAGCTTATTTAATAAAAAGCGATACCAAAACTGGCTAGAACTGTCTTATTTTGGAGGAGCAAAACCAAATAGAATTTAGACTTGTTTCTGGGTTAAATATCGGAAAAACAGTCCTAATCTTGGACCCAAAAAGTGGCCAAGCGCCGGTTGGTTTAGAAACTCAGACAGGTCCACTGTCCACCCCTAGTAACATCTGCACTCATTATGTCACTTGTGAAGAACTATATCGAAATGGTTTGAACTTTCAAAATGATTATGTATGAATAAATACTGTGTGTGTAGAAGCAACAATTAAAAACGCTTACAGTGCACACAATTGATGAACCCTAGAATGACCATAACGGATTTGATCTTTATCTAGTGGTGAAATGTATTCCTTGTGCTGAGCACCCATTACGGTACCTATGGAAACCTAACTTATACAGATACACAGAAAAGTAGAAATAGCTGAGTTTGTGTAGTTTTACATTTGAGAAATCATGAAAACCAAAAGGAAAGAATGTTTCACTGGTATTATTTTGCATGCCTTCATATACAAAAGAATCCTGAAAAGGAGTGTTTGTTTCCCACACTCAAAACTATTACAAGCAAGCCATTTTTTTCGGGACAGAAAACAGACTTCATTGTCCTGCCACGGATTTCAAAACAAACATCAGATGACACTATTATATAAAATTATAAATGTCTTGAAGAAATCAAGGAACCAAAATGAGCATTTTGCATATACCTCTGAATGTGACGGTGTTTTGACTCCAAAGTTGAGACCACAAGCATGAAAAGGCGCTGTGGCATTCATGAACCTATTTACTCCTTTGAACATAAGCGTTCTACATTAAAAAAAAACTGATCACTCACCAGTTAATTCCATTTTATCACCAATAGCTCCCATTTTATGCAAGAAAGATGAAAATTACAGATAAGGAAGGAAATAAGATAATAATGAAACCCAGCAAGTGGTTACGTCTGGGATTGGGGGAAAGATGGCTTACTGAGATATTCATAGGCAAGTATCATTGAGGTGCCCCAAGCAGACATGCTGACAAATCTTGGACCCAATCCTCTATATAATCCTGTCCAACCATCTTCTGCAATCAACTGTTTCACTACTTGTCTTGCATTAGGTCTGTTATTTCCATGACCCATCACCTGCAATTCACCAAAAGCTACACAATTAAATGGAGACAAGGTTTATTTCCGGTATCACCTGCTAAGCCTAAAACTAATACTCCCTTTCTTCCTCACAATCTTAAACCAGAGGGCAGAACAAAATAATTGGTTTCCAATCAAAAGTCAAAATTAGGGTGGGATATATAAATGTCAGCATTTAAGGCCATGCTTGTACGATTTCATCTAGCCTTCTAGGGTATATTTGGATCCCAGAAAATGCCAGGGAAAGGATAAGAATGTTAAAGAAAGCAATTTTCTTATGCTACCAATTGCCTTGTAAGATGCAACGAAAACTAAATCCAATTAGTTTTAAAATACTTCCATATGTCTAAATTTGTTAATCTGTATGTAGTCGACATAAACAAGTTGTTAAAAATGAATATCAACTAATATTTAAATTAATGTTTTTGAGTACTAGTCTATCTTTTGCTTTTGTGCAACTTTTTTTCTTCTATGTTGGCCTTCCTATTCTCATTCCAAAGTAATATTCGTATTCCAAATATATCCTCAGCACAAAATAGGAAAATTAGCGCTCATGAAACATAATATGTTCATTCAGTTTTCCACCAGCACTGAGGTGCTATAAGCTGCATTTAACAAATATTATCAGTTAATTGGTACCTGCAAACGCGTTTTTATGGTATCTAATGGAGTAGTAATACAAGATGCAGTAACTCCCGCAATAATTCCACCAGCAGCTTGAACTGATACTATCCTTCCCTGGCTAGGATCAGTTAGACCCTTCTCAGTCCCATATCCCAAAAGGCTGTCAAACACATGTAATGAAATGCTTTACAGAGTTTTCTGAGACCTCATAAGAAAGGGAAACGAATTCCTCGAATGGCTTACCTCCATATGAAGCGCTGGCTAGAACCATAGCTAGCCCACCAAACTGCACTTGATGGGGAATATGTTAAAACAGAGAGACCAAATCCTCTATACAATCCGCGAACGCCTTCAGATTTTAAGACTTTCCTAACAACATCTACGCCCCCGTTGTAGTTGGCATGCCCTGAATATCCTTGCACCATCAACCGTTGGCTAACCTTTACCATTCAATTTCGCACAAACAAAAGAATATTTAGTTAAATGAAAATGAAAGTGATAAAGTAGACGTTAGAAAGACTTTCTTTTATTGGATAGCAATGCTACAATAAATTTTCTGTAAATAGAGTTGATAGGGAAAATGTGCACTTTCAGTCTCTAGAAAAAGTAAATTGAGACCTCAATTCATCGTATTAAATCTATCGGTTCCTAAGGTAGACTTAAAAGTGGCACATTCAGTCCATCATTACTCTACATGTCACATATAGTTTTTCCATTTTACTATTCACATAACTAGCGTTTTTAACCTATTCCATCCAAATTCAATTGAAGTGATAAGTTCTCATGATATTTAGAGGGTATAGAGGGAAAGACAGATGAAAATATCATACTAAATTTATAAAAAGTAATATTTTCTTTCACTATTAAAAGTACTCCCTCTATGACTCTATCCAACAGTGTAAGGTTCATTTGTGTTTCGCCCGGGTTTTAAAAAAATAAAGGATAAATTCATTGTTTCACAATTTTAACCTCCAAAAAATAAGAAAAAGTAGCATGGGTACAGGGTACAAAAAAGCAAAAAGGTGAAATGATAGATAACAAGATAAAACGGGAAAGTAAAAATCTAGCAGAGTTTATTTTGGAAAGTTGCTCATTTTTAGGACAGCCCAAAAGGGAAAATGTATATTAAAAACAGAGCTGAAGGTGTAATGGGGTTAAAATCAAGTGATCTGGATTTTTTTACAAATATACTCTTTCAATTATTTGTGGGTTAGATATCATAAAGACATAAAGTAATTGATTTTCAAATGCAGATCACATAATATTCGATTACAACCGTGTGAAATGATGCTAGTATTCTTAAAGTTTAGAGGTTTAAAAGTGTATATTTTAGATAAGTTTTAATGTAATAAGAACTAAAAATACAATGACAATATGGACTAGAAGAGGTGACACAAATAATTGAGAAAAATCTATACTTCGGGCGACTGCGATTCTACAAGTGCCATCTTACCTCTTTAATAAGTTAACAAATTTTAGGGTGAAATCTGAGACAAATGCTAGGAAGTGTGAACAATCACTCAAGAACATGATATTGACACTGGTTATCCTTTTGCATACCACATCAATTGGAACAAATACAGACTGTGAACAAAGAGATGCCAACATGCCACCAATACCATTTGCTATGGCCGCCTGTGTAGGTTCTGATAATTGGAATGGCTCAACCATCTGAAAAGAGGCTACTTTTATTGTCTCCAATGCCGTGAGAAATATAATTCTGGCAGGAATTGCACCAGTGATGACTGTACCAAAACCTCTATACAAACCGGGAATCCCGTCTGCTTTAATAACCCCCCTCAACACAGAAAAAGCATTTTTTTCTGCAGCATAATGGTTAGCAACCTGCAATCTTGTCTTGACAACTGAAATGGGATAAAGTGCAACTGTAATCCCAGTAAAAATCCCGGCGCCTAAGATATAGAATTTCTTTTTATCAAGCCTGCAAGAGGAGTGGATCATATCACAAATTTGAAAATTCACTTCAAATCAGAGATGAAAAAAAATTATTCTGGAAGAAACATCATTAACGCAGGGAGCATTCACATATTTGACACCACAATACCTTCCATGATTAGCCATTCATCACTCGGATCAGTAACATGAACCGCCATAATAATTTCTCGTTTCATAAAAGAATGAGAATTGAAAAAGAAAATTAAAATGAAGAGTTAAATTTAGAAGCAATCAAGGGAAAGCTTACTTGTCCCAATTGATCTCGTTTTGATACCGTTCTTGAGATCGAGCAGCATCCATTGTTGAACTTAAGGCTCGTTTCGAAGATGATTCAATTAAAAAATGCAAAACTAGATTCAAACCCTAATTTAGATCCCAGAACCCGTCCAGCACATTCAGTGATTCAGATGAGAAATTACGTATTAATCATATTTGTATAAATACATTTTTATTTTAGAAATATTTTTGGAAAAATGGAAATTAATAATCCAACATTTTAGCAGTCTTCTTACAATAGTCCAACCTTTTCATTATTCAAGAATAATTCAACCTTTGCACCTCATCTTCATTCGCTGGTCCCTGACCGGTTAATGACCTGCTATTTCAAGTTATTTTCTTATCTTTGCAAAATATTATCGTTGTGAAAGGTAAGATATATGGTATAATGGTTTGAAAAGATAAAAAAATAACTTGGAACAGCAGGTCATCAACTGGTCAGGGACCAGTGAATGAAGATGAGGTGCAAAGGTTGGATTATTCATGAATAACGAAAAGGTAGGACCATTGTAAGAAGACCGTTAAAAGGTTGGATTATTAGTTTCCATTTTCCCGATATTTTTTTAAAATCCTTTTATCAATAAATCTTTTTACTAAAAAATAGAAAAGGAATTTTAAATACACACCATCTTTATTGGTTTCTCTCTCAAGGGTTTCCACCGCTTCGTCCGCTATCGACCTCGTCGAGGGGCGGTGCCGCTAAGAGACCTTCTCTCTCTAGGTGGCCGTCTCCCCTAGATTTAGGGATTGGTTTTCTCCGATTTCGTCTTTGGCGAAGAGCGTTTTTCTTGTGTGACTTTCGTGAGACTCTCTTCTTCGCCAGACCGCAACGTGTATATGACGGCCAAAAGTTGTGTACCCCTACCAGCAGGGGGAGAGTTTCGAGGATGTCGTTCATAGTTGAGATCAGAAGGTCATGGACGAAGCGTGTTGCTAGGGACTGGAACAGATTTGGACCGAAGGCAATGAGCGGGAGAAGCTACAGTACCGTTGGTCCGTCCCCCTCCTGAACCACCGCCATGGAGTGAAAGAGAGTTTAGAGTTTAGAAGCAGTTTTTTAATTATACTGTTTGCATGTTTTTTATTTTTCATGATCAGTCTGTTTATTTTTCCGCTGGCTACTTTTATTATTGTAAGACTCTTGCATTATGATTGGCCGATAGGAGGTCTGCTTTAACTATCGTTGGCTCATTTATGCCCATTTTAAGATCAACAAGTTATATTGTTTTTCTGGAGGTGATTGACTCTAAGTCTGGTTCAAGGGCTGACAGTTGTCTATGGTCCTTTTGTCGTCTTACCCCCTATCTGAATGTTTTAATTTAAGTCATCCATTTTGATGATAAAAAATCTTTTTACTAAACACATTACTTTTGATTTTACATGACTTATTGTGTAATAATCAAAATAAATAAAGTTGAAGTGTATTTCTGTTTGATTTTATCGAAGTTACTCTAGAGTGTCATTTTAAGTGCTTTTTCATATTTTTATCAATAAAATATATTTAAAACTTGAATTTTACATATTTTAGCATATCCAGTCAATTTAACCGCATCAATTATAATTTCATTAATTAATTTCAATAGATTCAATTGATTCAACCGATTTCAATACTACCAAACAGACTCCTAATTTATTAATAAAAGGGTGAAACCAATAATGGAATAATTCTTTATTGATTCAAAGGAAATATCTAACTTTATCCAACTAATAAAATGTGATATGTCAATGATTTCACTTTCAATTCTATAGTACTACGTGTTACTATTAGATGATATACAATACATTTTTATTGGCGTAAAAAGTTTTTTCATTTATCAAAATGTCACAACATTTTTATTTAATTAATTATGTTTTAACATATTTCTACAAAATCTTTTGATACTAAAGGGTGCATGGATGTTGTTTTTGTAATTAAATTTTAAAGTATTTAGTCATAACGTCAAATATATATGTCTTAGACTAATTCTTAGTTTCATGGCAGTAACATTATTTATTTGATGCGAGATACGATCACTGAGTCACACTCATATGTATACTTCTTCGTCCCTTATGTTAGTCTTATTTGTTCTATAGCTTTCTAAGTGATATATTTTCTGTGATGACTTTTCACTTATATCTTTCAAATAAGAAAACCTATTACCATTCATAGTACGAAAATAGGAGATTTGCCCATTTCTGTGATTGCCCATTCAAATAAGAAAACCTATTACCTACATATGGTGCATAACCTTGTCAATGTTGCAACTGCTGAAAAAATGAAGAAAAAGTTATGGTTGAATTTAATTTCCTATAAAATATATGGATTGCATCCAAGCACATAACAACTATGAATACACAACATTCATTACACTACCTAATAATGCTTTCTACTTTTACATTTACACATACTTTCTATATTTTATTCCTTTTCTTGATCATTCTTTTGCTCTCTTTGATATGCATGTTGAGCTTTTTACAAGAACTTGCATTTGTACCTACACGAGAGACAAAGTGGACATATGGTGAAAGAAGATTAATACGTAGTAAATGAATACACGAACGTTGACCAAAATTGTAAACAAGAATATATAATCAGAATAGTTGAAAATTAGTTAGTCCATTACATAAGAAAAACTTGAGAGATGTGTGATAACAAATTAGGTTAATGAGTTCAACATATCTATACATAGTGCACATAAGTTGTTGCAGAAAACGAATGAAAAAATGAATAAGGGAGAAGTTATAAATGCGCAAAGCAAATGGAAGAGCAGTGTTGGTCTATAAATAGTTGGTTCTCAATTGCAAAAGAATCCACAAATTCCAATACAATGAATGGCTTATAGGATATAAATTGGTATACTTACATTTAAATATGAATATACAAAAGAGAGATCAAGCAATTAAATGCATATATGCTCAAATCTCGGAGAATAAACTTAGTTGTTACTAGAGTAGTATGAAAGAAATGACATTGAGACAAGATTGAGTATACAATTATTAAGATAAATGGAATGCTGTGATTGTCAATGAATTGATGAAGTGTGGATAAAAGAAAAATGAATTACAACCACCCAAATATTACTAAATATAATATGAGAAAAATATAGTGGGGCAAATAAAAAATGTAAAATGGAACAAAGATAGAGATAGAGGGAGTAGTGCATAAGGCAATAAAATTTTCATCATGTGATAATAAAATACTCACTATGAAAAACACAATTTCATCGTGACAGTATACGACTACTCTCGTAGTAAAATTTAGTCTCAATTTTAAGAAACATAAAATTACAATGTAAATCTAAAGAGTACACACATAAAAATGTAAATATAAAGACCAGACACATAAGTAAAGAAAAAAAACACAATGTAAAAAAGACATAATTTCACACTCTTTACACCAACAATAATTTACACTCCTCAGTCCTCATATATAAAAAGACTCACATTAAAATTATTATTACATTTTGTTACACCGTGTATCAGTGTGTAGATTTTTTTTTAATTTGAAGCACCAAGAAATATCCTGCCAGGACACCACAATTGATATAATGATATCTTAAATTTGAAAAGAATTATTTTAACTGATGTTTTAAGTAATCCACCTAAAGATAATTAAATTGCATTGGCAACCCGACTCATATGGTGACGTTTCATTACTCAATCAGATTTCTTACCATGGGGCCACCAACATGGCAACATCCCAAAAGAAAAATGGATTAGAAAGTCATTCATTTATTTAACTTTATTACATTTTTAGACAAAAAACAACAACTGATACAATATAAGTATGTAAAAATAGGCCGAGCTTTCCATTTTGTTTCAACCAACTTTTGATACACCTAAAGGAAATGAGATGCTGGCACTGACTAGGATAGATTGCTCTAGTCAACTCTACAATTTAGTGATGAGTGTAGCTATGATGGGGAGCAGGGGCAACAATGCCACAGAAAAATGTGATCAACCTTCTCAAAAGTGGCAATCGAACCAAAATAGACAAACAAAACATGCCTTTTCCTTGTAGATACCTTAAGGAGAAAAAGATAATGAAAGAACATAATATACCTTAAGTGTACTTTTGAACAACCATATTCTCTCTGGATGATAAATTGGACACTCTTGAGAGATCACTAGAGTGTCAACTAACCTCTGAAATATTCAAGTGATAAAAAGTCAAGAAGATGTTAAATGCCTAAACTCAGCACAAATAAATGAATTAGAAAAGATTATAAAACACCACATTTTTTTTCAAATAAGAAACTAAGAAGATAAAATAAGGAGATATACATCAAGCTAATCAAACTATTCCACTCTAACATAATTTCTGAGATGTTACAAATATACACTTTCAAAAGAAATAAATAAAAACCTGGACTATAGGAGTAAAATCTTATTGTGCTCTTGTCTTAAAATTGCAACACGCGTGTTCACTTTGTCATATAAGCAATACGACCTCTCTGCACAAAATTTCATTTTGATGCAGTAGTAATATACTTGTCTGAAATAAAGTTAAATACTTTATTGTTAAAAGATATCAAAATCAAAATACAAATATTTCATTAGAATAGATATTCCTTGTAAGCATACCTATCTCAAGAAACCATATGCAATCATGTTTTTGGAAATTCATATGATAAAAATTGAAAAACTGTAAGCTACACCTCAACTGCAAGCTACACCTAATGAAATAATAATAAGCTAACATACAAATCAGTGTATTGTAAATAATAAATAAGTGAACTCATATGTGCAGATCTTACACCTAGGCTGCTAGGCATAATTCTTTCACGAAGTTATTAGTTTTTTTTTACAAATTCCACCGAGTAATGTGATTTTAGAAGAGTGTTACAACTAAGTCTATTACTATGTGATATGTGACCCGTCATCCGTCAATGCAAAAAAATAAGAAAACTGAGAGTCCAAATTGATAAGAAAAAAATTATTAAAGAAAGAAATTTCACTAATACAAAACATAATTTTCTCATACTAAATTCATTCTTTTCAAATCAAATCATCATTCATTGACTTGTATTGTTTACCAACAATACTTTATTAATTACAGTTGTGAAAGTTGAGAGAAATAAAACAAGAAAAAGATACAAAGTGTTCGAAAAGAATATATTTTTAAGAATCACTAGAAAAAGAGAAC